ATATCTGCCTTACATTTCCGTAGAAAGAAAAACCCTGGATTAATTTACATAAGCTGCCACTGCACAGAGTGGCCTGCGATCTCACCATTACACTGTATGATAACTCTGTCACCCGTTTATTGGAGCCTTATATTTTTCAATGGTTTGAAACAGCAATAAACTGACAAGTCACCACCATGGTTAAATTATCCTGGTTCTGAAAAACTTGCACCCAAATGCCGTAAAATATAAGTAGTAACCTGCCTGGTGAAACGCGTCCTTTTCTCAACTGCACTTTGATGCCTTTGAGGCCCCTAAGGGCTAGTGCTCTGTCTCTTTTGTCTGTGGGGCACAAAGTAAAGAAAGGAGGTAGGTAACCTGTTTCAAAAGCCAGATAGCCCAGAGTTGGGTGAGAGTTTATATGAACCTATCACTGGTTCTTTCTCCTGCATGTTAATGTCTCCACAATGACTGTTCTCTTTTTTTTTTTTTATTTTTTTTTTTTAACCTTTATTTTTGAGACAGAGAGAGACAGAACATGAACGGGGGAGGGTCAGAGAGAGGGAGACACAGACTCTGAAACAGGCTCCAGGCCCTGGGCTGTCACCACAGAGCCCGACGCGGGGCTCGAACCCACAGACCGCGAGATCACGACCTGAGCTGAAGTCGGACGCTTAACCGACTGAGCCACCCAGGTGCCCCATGACTGTTCTCTTTAACTTCATCCAAGTCCATCCTGCCATTCTCTCAGTAAGTCATTCAACAATCATTACCGATGACCTTGCTATGATGCCCTCCACCAGGTTCCAGAAATCTGAAGGTAAAAAATACACATTGCCCTTAAGAAAGTTGTAGAAAGTGAAGGTATAAACTAATAAATTGGGACATCAACAATGCAGTAAATGCCACCAGAGTCCACTGTCCGTACACATACACAAATTCATTTATTCATATCAACACACAAAATCTTTCTACCCTGTGAATCTGAACTTCCAAAAACTCCAAGCTCTTAAAAGTTTTGAAGCAGTGCCTTGGAGAAGATGTGGTTCTAAAATGTACAATTTCGGTAGTGTCATTTAGAGTGTATGTTTGTGTAGATGTGTGTGTGTCTGTCTACGTGTGTATTTTTATAAAAAGTAGAAACACCTTTAGATAGAATTTTGCCAAGGGTACAATAGTCTAAACAATTGATGCCTTCTGTAGCCAGACTGATTCAGTGCATATCAACTTGTTACTTGTTGTAATAACCAGATAATAGTTCAGAGTATCTTCAAATGAATGTTTACTGATACATCCTTACGATACTAAAAAGTCTGGATCACTTGTTTGGGAAGTCAGATACTAAAAGTCACTGTGATTTAAATTCATAAAATCATGATAAATATTCTAAGAGGAGACCTAATCTTATTTTTTTCACATCCTGTACATCCAAGGTATTCTGTTAATGAGTAAATAGTAGGAATTTGGATCTGCTTTGTTTTTCATTGTACTGAACAATACGTAGAACAGTGCAGGTTCTGATATCAAACTGTCGATACTGGAAACTAGGTTCTTCCCTGTACAAGCCATGAGACGTCTCCAAGCTTCAATTGTCTCATCCTTAAGATGGAGATAATAGTAGCTACCTCATAGAGACAGACAGATGAAAGAGGTAGCTGCATATAAAGCACATAGCACTGGGGCACCTGGGGGGCTCAGTCGTTTGAGCATCTAACTCTTGATTTTGGCTCAGGGCATGATCCCAGGGTCATGGGCTCATGCTGAGCATGGATAACCTGCTTAAGAATCTCTCTCTCTCTCTCTCTCTCTCTCTCTCTCTCTCTCTCCCTCTGCTTCTCTCCCCGCTCATGCTTGCTCTCTCTCACAAATAAAAATAAATAAATAAAATAAAAATAAAGCATATAGCACTGGGACAGGCCCTATCATTTTTTTTAATGTTTATTTATTTTTCGAGATAGAGACAGAGCATGAGCAGGGGAGGGGCAGAGAGAGAGGGAGACACAGAATCTGAAGCAGGCTTCAGGCTCTGAGCGGTCAGCACAGAGCCCGATGCAGGGCTCGAACTCACTGACCACAAGATCATGACCTGAGCGGAAGTTGGACCCTTAACAGACTGAGCCACCCAGGTGCCCCATGGGACAGGGACTATCATTAAGTAAGATAGTATTATTTTTGTCATTATTTGATCTCAGAACATTTAATATCTGTCAAGAAATTATTTTGCTATCCTATGTCTGTGTTTATGGCAATATAGTAATGACAATTTGCATTAATTCTATAAGAATATAGAGTCATGTCACTGTATTTATTCATTTCATTTATTTATCTATTAACTTGCAGTTATTGAATGATGAGTGTATAGGGTGGGGTAGGGAACACAAGGGTAATTTAACTACTACCAATAGAGTTTCAGACTATCGTCCTGGAATCCTGCATTATTTTCTAACTAAGTTTAATAAACTCAGACACAAAAAATAACTTGAAGATACCTGCAAAGCCCTTGTTATATAATTTGCTCTTTAGATAGATGACAAAACATGATTTCTCTCTGTTATGCTGCCAGTAACAGATAATTATTTTGGTGTCTTTCAAGGAGATAATCCCCAGAATCTAACACAACAACAGTAAACTGGTTTGAAGGTAAATGGAACCAACTTTTAAAAAATAAACGTCAGTATCCTCCCCTCTTTATTTACCACAAACGGTTAAGGAGACCAAGGGTGATCTACAAAATCATTTTCCCAAATCCACTGTGAAAAGGACCAAAAGTTCTTTGAACATGTAGGCAGCTCCCAATCTCAGTTTTTCAGATGCCAAGAATCAGCCCAGGTCCCCATGTTGTGATCTCAGCAGCAACATCACGGCCGAGGTAGGGACTCCACTCCTCAGTGACTTAAGCATTTGGAGATGGTTACCATCTGTCCTAGCTATTTGTTCCTAAACAGGTGAAAGTAAAAATAACCAAGTGTTCCTAAAGCAATTCTCTTACAAAAAAAAAGAAAGGAAGAAAGAAAGAAAGAAAGAAAGAAAGAAAGAAAGAAAGAAAAGAAAAAAGAAAAAGAAAAAAAAAGTTAAGTGCATTAGCACAATTTCTGCCGGCACTTTTAACAGAGATCTAGGTAGTTCTGATACAGATGGTCTAAGGACTACACTCTGAGCAGCCCTGGTGTGTAGACAAACCCTCTCTCACTTAATCAACACATGGATCAAGCAGTGATTCCCAGGAAGTGGATTCAGTGCCAGGCGGACTGCCTGAGAAGGCAGAATCGTAGTCTCCACCCCCAGAGTTACTGGGGCCCAGAAACCTGCTGATAATTCGTATATTTACAAGTTTTCTGGGAAAGTCTAACATACAGCCAATGGTGAGAGGAAAGGGGCTATATTTTACTTCAACACATCCGTGGGTGGTCCTTGTTCCACAATTTACTAGCTCTCTGACCTTATAATTGCTCCATCATTGATCTATAAAATAGCTGTTGCAAAGATTAAATAAAGCAATGCATGTTAAGAACCCAGCATGTAGTAAGCTGATTATTATTGTTATCATTATATGCCCAGCTCTAAGTAAGATATACAGAAGTAAAATGTGTGCTTCACCACTTCAAGAAGCATATAACCTATTTAGAAAAATGATGTAAATATTAATAGAAATTTAAAATACGAGTTTATATTCTAAAGCAGTGACATATTTACACACATGTAAAACGTAGTCTGAGTAACAAAGTAGATTGTAAAATACAGAGGATTATAATATAAGAACATAGGAAAAGTCATATGAAGTTTGCTTAAATAAATAAATAAATAAATAAATAAATAAATAAATAAAATGTCCAATACTGGGGTGCCTGGGTGGCTCAGCTGGTTGAGCGTCCAACTCTTGATTTCGGCTCAGGTCATGATCTCATGATTCTTGGGATCAAGCTGCTATTGGGACACTGCATTGATAGCATGGAGCTTGCTTGGGACTGTCTCTCTCCCTCCCTCTCTGTCCTTCCCTAGCTCACACACACGTGCTTTCTCTCTGTCTCTCAAAAGTAAATAAATAAACTTTAAAAAAAATAACAAAATGTATAATTCTGCTAATTCAGGCAACCTAATTCTCACCAATTCACCATTTTTAATGCATATTGTAGAAAAATATTAAAATCATGAGTGCTAATCAACTTCTACTTATTACTTAAAACAAGAATTAGAAAATGTATATATCTGGGAAAGGAGTCCATGGAGTAGGCATCAAGGAGCCCACGGAAACTCTGAAATTTCATGCAAAACGTTGTTTTATGTGAGTATGAATATTTCTGAGGAGAGAGCAGTACCTTTCATTTGATTCTCAAAGGGTTTTCTGCTCCCTTCCGAAACGTTAAGGACCATCAAAGAGTCCTGTTTTAGTTCTCATCATGTGCATCCTTATGTATGCTGAAAAAATATAACTCCTGACTGCATTCCAAATAATCTCCTTGCTTACTTTCGTGTACATGTCCTTTGAATCATTTTCTTCACGCTCTCACCATTCAAATATCCTGAGAATAGAAGTCACACGGTAAGATCTCATTTGAGGAAATTGTAAAGCAGACTTTCATGGCTACCTCAACCTATTCAAATCCTACAGGCATCAGCATGGAAGTTTATGTACCTGTTTTAAAAGTTCCAGCGGCCAAGATTTACTGATGATTATATTCCCTTATTATTATTATTTTTTATCCATTTCTCAATCTTTTGAATTATTTTCAATTAGTCCTGTGCTTCTTTTCATCTCAGATAGAAAAGTGAAGGAACTTCCCTGGAAGGATACAATTCACTTTTGCCAACTTGTATGTTGCCGACCCAGCACTTAACATTATTGATGTTACAGGTTTTTGATTGAGGTAAATTGGTGTATAACATCATATAAGGTTCCGGTGTGCAACATTATAATTCGATATTTGTATGCACTTCAAAGCGATCACCATCCTAAGCCTAGTTACTATCCATCAGCATACAATTAAGCCCCTTCACCCATTTTTATTTCTCTTCTCCTACAGGTGTGTGTGCAACATCGACTGCTCTCAAACCAACTTCAATCCCCTCTGTGCTTCTGATGGGAAATCTTATGATAATGCATGTCAAATCAAAGAAGCATCATGTCAGAAACAGGAGAAAATTGAAGTCATGTCGTTGGGTCGATGTCAAGGTAATGTTCGTACCAAAATTCATTTCAAAGCATGTTTTTAGCCTTCGTGTAGAAGTGAAGAGTGAAGATAACTCCTTATTAGGCAAGCTATTTCATTTCCGAAAAACAGTTCTGATTTATAATGGATAGCAGAGTCTACTGTAGCATTTTGGTGATTATAGGAGTCTCAGGGTCTGTCAGCAACAGTCCGTATCTTTCTTCTATATAATGGGACTGTGTCTTCATAATGCCGTAAACACAGAAGCCTGTATTCAGCAGACATTCTCGTTGCAGAGGGAAAAAAGAGCCAAAGTCATTTGTAGCAAAGAGGCTGAGGATTTATTAGCAAGCCTTGAAATTAAAAACAAATGGCACCATTTTTATGTGTTGATTTCAATAGAAGTGTTTCAAGTACATTTTTTTAAAGCACAATGTACTAGAAAGTTTTATTTTGTTTCTTATTCAGAAACAAACGTTTCCTGGCTTTTTGACTTGTTATTCTTTCATCCACCTTATCTCAGTTGTAATTGTGAACCTACTCTGCCCCAAACTTCAGAAAGCTGATATCATTCCACTATTCACTCTCAAGCAAACTGACATAAATCTGTCTTTGTGTACAGGTTGCTTAGAACTATAGTGGTAAAAGTTCCTTAATTGTCAGGAAGGTACTATCGGAGGAGTAATGTAAATTTGACATTAGATGTTTAGGATGCATTTGATCAATCTTTTAATTGTTAATTTTTTTTAACGCAGATAACACAACTACAACTACTAAATCTGAAGATGGGCATTATGCAAGAACAGATTATGCAGGTACTTATAATGTTTTCTACTACAGAATATGAGCGCTTCTTTAAGAGAGTTCTGAAAGAATCATTTTTACCGTTGAACCTTAGTTGAATCTTCCAAGACTCTGACATGTGCTGATCTTCTCTCGCTTAGTTCAAACCTTCAATAGGCAATAGTGAATTTTTGTTGAAGCAAATAAAATACTTTTTTTTTTTTGCCAGAGTTAAAGCAATTGTCAAAATGTCAGCAAGATATAACTAACTTGTTTTGACAGTGCAAACGGTACAAATGACAAAACATTTATCAAATTAATGGGCGTCAATGGAAATTAATGCAGTTTTTGGCAGCATATCGTGATGAATGCAAACGTTCTTGCTTGAATTTTCATTAAAGTCAACAAGAAAAAGCTTTGCTAGTCTCTAAAAACACTAGAAAGGACAGCTATAGATAATAATACAGCCGATCTCTCTTTCATGCAAAGTTAAAAAGGTAGGTGTAAACTATTTTCAAAATAATAAAGTTCTTTAAAACTACAATGTAGCTTCTGACGTCTGCAGAATTATCAAGCATTTATATAAAAACATACATTTTATTAGCAATTATAGAATTCTATTTTGAGAACTATTTCTATCTAATGTAATGTTTCTAGAGTGAGAGATAGTTGACGGGCACGCAAATAGCAGATCATAAAATTTTATAAAATTTTGGATTGAAATATAAAAATAAATTATTGATGATGATAACGATATGTAGAGGTTTTTTTTTAATTTTTTAAAGAGTTTTTCATTTAACTATCAAACAGTAGTGACTAAATTTAGTCAATCGAAAGTGCTTCTATCTGTATTATCATTCATTTTTTTCAGTTATTGCATTTTCTTTAACAGTATTTATGAAGTTATATTCATATACAAAATTAATCTCAATGAAACTGAAGAAAGGTAATCAGATATTGTATTATGGATACCTCATACCTCTCCGGATTTGGAAGTAACAAAATGATTTTTTTTTTAATTTTTCATTTTTATTTTAATGATTTTCAACATGTAAAACCTTTTATGTGCTAGAAGCCCAGAGTCGGCATGAACAATAATACATGGAAAAACATTAGTTCTACTATTGTATAGGTGTTCCCAAATGTCCAGCTAAGATATTAGCAGGTATTCCTTAAAAAAAAGTTGTCTGTGGTCAATAAGTTTGGGAAGAGCCTAGGCAAACAAATGACTTTCTTACCCAGAGCACCTCAGAGCTCTTTATGTGCACTGTAAAATTTTTAAGGGATATTAATCTTTTATTAATTAGTTAATTTATTTAATTTTTGTTCCAATACATACACAATGCACACAAATGTAGGCTGGATAGTATAATGAACCGATATGTATTCATCACTCAAATGTAGTAACCTGGTCCCATCCCAAACTCCATCCCGTTTCAGCATTTTCAAAATATGTGGAAAGAAATCCCAGAAATTACATCATTTGATTCATAAATACTTTAGCCTGCAACCCTAAAATATCAACACTTTTTAAATAAAACTTCATTATTATCACACCTAAAATGATTATGAATAATCCCTTATAATATATAGCTTTTATCAAACTTATTTGATAAATAACACATGTTTTGGGGGCGCTTTTACAGCACTAATGTTCCCAAGAATGCACTTTGAAATATGCTGATCCACAGGAAAATATTAAAAGTAATAGAAGATAATGAAAAATCGAGGTCTGAAGCTAATAATATACATTTTAAATATTAAATGAAATCAAATTTAAATTCTATATTTTATTCTAAACAATAGCTATATCTTGAAGGTATTATAAGCTGCTACCTGGCATATTTAATTTTACTGTAGCCTAAAGTATTTGAAGATTTCATAAAGATTTCACTTTCACATAAAGAGTAACTAACTGTGCTTAAAATACCTTTATACCTGTTTTGCAAACTAATTCGCTTGGGAAAAAAAATCTTCAAAAATTTAATATTATATGAAAATGTTCTCTGTTGAACCATCCATCATTGAACTCATAGGAAAATCAAGCCTCTCCCTGAAACAAAGAACTTTTCAAGTTGATTAGCATCAATATGCATATATATGTGAGTTTCCGAAATTGTACATTAAATATCATAATGGAGTTTACCACTCTCTCATTGTCATTCATATTACATACTTACAATTTGCCCATTTTCAAAGAGTTTGGGAGTTGAAATATTGTTCCAAAAAAAATCATATTTGAATTTGGCTTCAAACAATAATTTCAGTTGGCATTATTTCCTATCTTATCACTTTATTGAACATGAGAAGGAAAGAGAATGTGTTTTTAAATCCATGCAAATGGAAACTATTCAGACCCTCCATGTTGTCCAAGGTCTTCTAGTTTGACATGAGATTTATTTAATAATTTCCGACGAAAAATTTTTAAGATAAAAGTAATGTTTAAAAATACATGTTTGTTGAAATCTACATTTAAGACAGGAACAAAGATAATGTCAATTGAAGCTTGCAGTTTCTAATTAACCATTGATTGCATACTTTAAAACTCCCATGGAATTTAATTTAGATGCTTTTATTTTCATTGGCAATCTTATTAAAATACGATGTATACCCCTTGTTAGACATTATTTAAATAATAGCCATGTCCCTCAATATTTCCAGGTTCCCAACAGTATTTGCATTTTTATGAATTTGGGGATAAAACATTGGGAAAATAAAAGGAACCAAACAGAGACTCAGTATGTCATTGTCCTCTTAATTTCTGTTTCATATTTTCAAAACTCCCCAAGGAGGGAAGATGGGCACTGTGTGACTCACATTCCTAGAAGTTTGCTGTGTGTTCACAAGCTCATTCAATGTCACAGTCACTTCCCCTGTTAGACAAACAGCCATGGATGCTCCCACTGAAGGGAAATACCAGTCTTAACACACTCTCATTTTCTTCTTACATGTCCTCAATACTATATGTGAAAAACCTTTAGCAACACACCGTAGTTTCCCCTTTGAGCCTACCTTAAATACAAGAACACACAGTTCTGATTAAAAAAATGAAAATATAATTTAAAGAGAGCCTAAACCTAAAAATAAATATCTTGTGTCTCATATTTAATATCATTTAAAAGAAAGAGACTGCAGTAAGGACCAGCAAGAGCCGATTTGCAAACAAATAAATGCAAACTAAGAGAGCCATGCCTCCAACAACACTAAGCAGAGGTAGACTACAGTGTGACTGGACTTGTGCAGAGCTGTGAATTCTGAGACCTCACAGGCGTATAGAGGTCTCAGAAATAGAGACCTCTGAAATAGAGATGAGGAAAACAAAGAATTTGCCAGATCATCCCAGCCACCACTGCTTTCTGGTTGTGCTTGACTTGGGTCTCTCTTCTGCCCTCTCTCTTTTAATGAGACTCAAGATGTTAGTGAGTCCTGAATCAAGAGCTTTCGCTCTGTGTTTCAAGGCAGAGTGACAAGACCCCTGTCTGATAAACTAAATGGGCCACTTAGTGTTATTCTTCTTCACCAGTCTAAGACTCGGGCTTCGATTTAGGTCTTTCTATTTACTTGCAGAAAGTCTCCGAGAACAAAAAGCTCCACAGAGCTGGAGCTTTTGAGGGTTTCCATTGTTTGAAAATGTTAATATTAAACTTTCCTTCTGGAAGTTTTTATAAATAGCATATTTTATAAATAGCAAATGTTTTACACCTCTTGAAATCTGCAACATTTTCTTTTTAAAAAATTTTCCCTCATGTCTTGATGAAAAAAAGGAAGCCCAACTATTGTATTTTTCTTCATCTGGCATATATATTTTCTGATTATATTGCTTTTCTATCTGGAAAGTCTGATCATGCCTCAGAAGAACTAGCTACATGATCTTCCAGGGAAAATTTACTTGGTTTTATGTTTGTAAAATATACACATATACATAAAGATGCGCAAAAAGCAAAACAAACCATGAATTTAAACTGTTTTGTCTTTTACCATCTAGAAAATAAAATGAATTTTGTTTCATGACATTTTGTACCAGTTTCCAAAATAATCTGTGGTGGCTTACAATTAAAGCATATTCAATGAGATCGTTAAAAGAGAAAGTGAAAACACAAAGCATAACTGTAGAGGAAAATAAATATATCAGCAACATGGACTATTACAGTTACTGCATTTAGCCCTAAGCTTCCTTGCAACCAGTGTATAAAGAGGAAATGTGATGAATTCGTTCATTCAGCAAATATTTAGAGGCCCTGCTCTCTGCACTCCATGGGGCTTTACAAGGGTGAACACATCATTCTAAGTCTCTGCTAAAATGCAGCCTAGGCTTTCAGTGTCTGATAAAAAATAAATAAATAATCAGGTCAGGAACCAAACAACTAATTTCTCTAATGCTAAGTTCTAAAAGAATATTTGGCATAGATCTTACGAGGCATCACTGGAAAACATAGAATGGATGATATCTTTAACAATGATTTTTATGAAATTTGCCTGTAGGCTTTTCATATGGCTGGGGAGATTTTTTTTTTTTGTAATAATTTCCTATACATTCTAGACCACAGAATTAGAATACGTGTAACTCAATGATAGTCTCTCTGGGGCAGATTAAAAAATCAGTTATGTTTATGTATATTTCCAAATTGGAAAAAATAAATAAATCCCAGAATACTAAGGGAAATGGCTGTTGAGAGAATGTGTTCGGCTTATCTTCCTTGTGTGTCTACAGATTTGACGGGAACTGGATTAACAGAAGAGTCAGAAGGCCCAAGTAAAGATAAAGAATATGGTAAATTATAATGTGTATATGGGGAAAAGAAATTTCCCCTGCTTGTATTAGCAGTTAATGAAAAAAGTTAACCCTGAGTCATCTCCAGTCTTGGGAGGAAGCCAGGGTCTTCCCAGCTCTGAGTTTAGGTACAGGTATGCATGGAGTCTATTCGTCTTCTTATTGTGCATTACACTGTGGCCTTTCACCGTTTCTTGTAACATTTAGAGAAGATTAATTCTTTTTAGGCAAGTTTCTCTTTAGAAACCTCTCCTTTATCTTTAAGCAATGCTTTAGATATGAAGTTTGGGTCTAATTTAGATACTAAGCTCAGGTCTAAAAGATGAAAGGAAGAAGCCAGAAGTATACATTTAAACCAAATTCCATACATCCTACTATTATTCCATTGACTCATTTGTTCACCCTGAGAGGAAACTGACATCTTGAAAGGGTATCTAGTCTAAGTGAATTGTCATAATAACTTGTTCTCTGTAGAAGCCTTGGCAATTTACAAAGGCTTTTCACGTATATTGTCTCCTTCAGTCTCGATGACAGAAATGTGAGGGAGATATTATATGCATTTGACAGGTGAGAAATGGAGGTTCAGGGAGATTAACTAAAAAGGGTATGCGATAGAGCTAAGGTTCAAACCATCATCACTAATTCCAGAATCCAGCAAAGCGTGAATAGTATGGGACCAGAGGAGACGTGTCACTACTTAACATTCTTAGAGACTTTGGGATCCCCCTCTGCACCTTAGAGGTTAACTCCTTGAGAGTTCCAGACTCAAAAATGTTTTGCCATGATACCTACATTGCTGTGAAATGCTCCAAAGAGTTCCTCCTCTCTTTGAATCTGTCTCTATCTCATAAACATCCTACAAGCTCTGTCTTCTTTGATTTTTAAATTTTACTCTTCTGTTTTCTATTTCCTCACATAGACAAGAGAAACCAAAGAGAACAGTTTTTGCTACCCAGTAATCCTACATTAATAGAAAAAGTGTGTGTGATACTTTCTAGGTTTACAGAGATCCATTCCCATTACCTTATTCGCTCTCATGTCAATTCAATAAAACACGGTTACAAATACTAGGGGGAATAAAACTGTGGCTCAGAAAACCTAAGTGGTTGACCCAGAACTGGACACAGTATTTTGACACATTGACCAGCCACCCATGTGAATACAGCACTTGCTTGATTAATCTACTATTTGCCTCGATTCTTCTTCCACTATATGTATATCAACATGAATATCAAGTGGTTACATATCATATTTATAACATGAATTAATTCAGTCATGTGGAAAAAAATCTGCATTTAAAATGGAAGCTTTTTCCGTTTGCTCATGAACACAAAGAGCACTTCACCGGAAAGCATGTTATGTCTAGGCCAATAATTTGATCTGTAGGAAATAAATAAATAGCAGCAAATGCAGGCAGCAGCTTGTAGCACAAATATTGGTATCAACAGTGAAATAAATAAAAACGTTTGCCCAGGCTATTACAGTGCCACCAGACTAGCCTAGAATATTTAAGCTCAGGAAATGAATTAAGATGTCAAGATTTTCTCAAGATTTCTGAGGGAAAGTATCTCAATTCAAGTATTTTCCCCTCTGGGATTTACATTAGACTGCTGCAAAATTCATAAAGCTTTCTATGAACTCTAGCTCACAATTTTTCCTGCTCTCTTGAACTTCTGTGCTTTCATTGTTTTCTCCATAAAATCATGTAGCCAGTCATCTGTAATATTATGTTATGTTCATGGTTATAGATAAACACAGAAATGGTATTTGCAATACAGATGAACGTTTCCTACTGAAGAGTTGCCTTGGGCCCTGGTAGACTCTGGAAAACTTTGTGTTTATGCCCCAGTTCATAAATGCATCCTGCATCATTTATGTGCTCTTCTTCTGATTTGAAATGCTCCTTTCTGAAACAAATTGTTCACTTTGAGGTGTTACTCATGTACCTTTCTCTTCCATAAAGGTGTGGCAGGCAGATTAGTGGTTAAGGCCACTAAAAATCAGGGCCGAGTTTAAACACTGGCCATGCTTTTGATTATTTAACCTGGAGCCAATTAATTGACCTTTCTGAGCCTCAGTTTCCTCATCTGTTGGATGGAGATAATAAGCCTCCTTCCTTAGGGTTAAAGTTTGAATATAAGGGGCACCTGAGTGGCTCAGTCAGTTAAGCATCCCACTGGGACTCTTGATGTTGGCTCAGTGTGTGAGTTCAAGCCCCACAGTGGGCTTTGTGCAAACAGTGTGGGGCCTGCTTGGGATTCTCTCTCTCCCTCTCTTTACCTCTCCCCTACTTGCTCTCTCTCTCAAAAAATAAACTAAAAGAAAATTAAAGTTTGAAATTAAAAAGACATTATGTAACATATTAGCAAGAAACTAGCAAACCAGCTATTTGTTATTATTTTCCTTTTTGTCTGACAATTGAAAATTTATTAATGGACAGTATAACATATTGTATGGGCTGTGGTCCAGCCATATGATATATATTCAGAGTTTTTGTACAAATACTTTCATTTCTGGACTCATACAATTACAAGGGGTTTCTTTTTTTTCCTACTCAAGTCGTACAATAATTTGTCGCAAGAGATTTTGGCAGACTTTTTAATTCATCTGTAAAGAAGTATTTATTGAGCACCTACCATTTGTAAGTCTCCAGCACATTGGTATGTCTAAATTTTCACATGGCTAACTTTTCAGTTTGCCTCCAGGCATAATTCTATGTACAATATAGTTTGATCGCTTTAAAATAATATGATCACCCGATTATTAAAACATGAGATTCAAATAAAAATTCAGTAAAAGGACGTAAGGCTTGACAGAATTGCAAGATCGTGATATCGCTTACATTTCTTTTCTTCCTGACCTTTAAAGTTAGTCGTTTGTATCCCAGGGTGTTTGTATGAAAGAACTGCACATTCATTCTTTAAAAGAAGCCTGTGTAATGGGTGACCATAGTGATGGGAAAGTATCAAGCAGAAATAACAGGAATGTCATATATAAGAAGTTATGCCCGTTATGCAAAACATTCTTTCTACTGAGAAAAGTTAGTGTTTGTACATCATCAACCAGCAGACACACAGATACACACACACCTTAAAGAGTCAGAGCATCGAGGTCAGAACAAATGCGTGCAACAAAAGCTAAGCATCAAAGGAAAAGAGTTGCATTTCCTTGCTGATTAGCTTTTGTTGCTTTGTTTAACACAGGAGGCAAAGAGGAAAGGCTGGTTGAACATGAACATCTAGATACCACGAGTGAAAGTGACACAGTTCTCCACCTTAATTTACCCTTTTACCTCAAGCCTGTTATTTCCATTCCTAGGAAAAGTGGCATAAATATGGGTAGAATGTGAGAAACCGAAAGAAGACGAGGATATGTCCAAATGCTCTGCATAATTTCAAGACACGCTGTTTTCCATAAAACTAATAAATAGAATTCAAGCAGTTTCAAAAAAAACCCCCAAAATATCCAGACCACTTTGATTGCTGCTTTTGTTAATGAGTCTGATATGCTTCACATATATGAACCCACATTATCAAGCACATTGAAAATTCAGTTCTCACATCTTGATGATTTGAGATTGTGTACACATATAATCAACTAAAAATGTTTTTAAATATCTTTGAAGCTAAAATCCCTCGGAAATATTGTGTTTCTAAACACTGTTCCTTGTTTCATGGGTCATAGCTTGTTCCCTTTAAGCTGTTCATTTGGAAATTGCTCAGACTTTTGGTTTGAACTCAAATGTAATTAAGAGAAATCTAACTTGTGAGCCAAACTCCAGGCATAACAATGTATGAAAATCAGTGATAAGGCTGGAGGGAAGTGGGGTGGTCCAATAACATGAAAATACTAATGAGGACCAGGGAGGTTAGCACCCACACCCACCTCTGAGTCCTGAAACACGGGAAAAGAGGGTAGAGAAAATGGCCACCTTGTGAGAAGACTAAAGGCGTGTGGTATTCTAGGAGAAACCTAGTACTTCAGGATGCAAGAAGGGAGATGAGAATTTCAGTGAAACTTCTGAAGATGTGCGGTGAGGAATTTGCTGATTATGGAGCACAGATTCTGGTGAGCTTTGGGAAGTGGATGGAAACTGGGGACAAAAAGATAGGCTTAGTCAAAGATGGAGAACCAAAACCAGCAGCACATTGTGGACATGGTGATTCAGTGGAGGTGGGCAACTGGGGCAGGACAGGGCAGGAATCGGATATTGACTAAATTCGGTATAAAAGCTCTTGGACCTGTAGACTTAGAAATCTAAATTTTCAACACACCAGGAATAAGCTGTTGTTCAGCAGGGAACTCAAATTAATCAGATTCAATGTCTGTGTGTTGATTTGCAATGAGAAAGCATTACCGGGAGGACTCGGGTCCCCTGACCAATGCGTTCTCTTCTTAGACTTGAATTCTCTGAGAAGCCCAGCCGGATGAGGTCACTTAGTGAGCTTGAATAAAGGATATATTCTTCAGATATTTAAGGTAACAAGCTAAGATACAAATGTCTACACTCTTAATTAGATACCTACCACTACCCTCAGATCGAGATAGGGAAGTGCCTTTGGCCAGGACATCCTCTCCCATGGTCAGAGCTTACCTAACACTGTTGACCTGTGTTATTCTCCTTTGTCTGAGTTGCCATTTCTGACTAATTCTTGTCCAATCTACCTCTTTTCCTAGATATAATACATTTAGTCAGGGTGACATTGAGGCCTGTTCTCCCTGAAGCATTTCATGACTTTAAGGCATTCTGGTGCTCTGGTAAAGTACAGAGCAATCTTGTTATCCCTACTTTTGAATCCCTCTGGGATCTCACTCAATAACCCTAGAAATGACAATATTAGTACAGAATGTCAGCATTAGCCATATTGGATTGGTAGGTCCTCCTTCACCGTGAAACCTGTAAGAGTTTTTACACAACATTAATTTCCATGGCCATTCTTTAACACGTAATCCAAAGACATCCGACCAATAACAAAGAAGAATGAATAAATCTTAGAAAG